GGGAACCCCAGGCTAGCGGGTGTGCTCCGGGGAAGGGGTCGGCCGGACGGGAGGCACCCCAGGGAGGCACTCGGAGCCTGGAAGGTGGTCGGCGCAGGGAGGTGGGTGGCTCAACGCAGGAGCGCCCCCTAATGGCCCGCCACACTCCCTATGTGGGTCGGGTGTGGGTTCAGCCTGCACGGGTGGAGCATGCAGTGCTTGTACAGGGTGCTGAACTGGAAGTGGTCAGGGGGGCGTGCCCCGTCTCGTGGCCACGTGCTTCAGTGCTTCAGTGGCATGTGCTATCCATGCCCCCTCCACACCTTCTCCCCGTTCAGCACCTTGCAGCTGCATGCCATGCCCCCCCAGCCCCCGTGTGCCAGATACCATGCCCTCTGCACACCTCTACCCTGCCACACACTCTGGATGCTCTCCACATGCTTCTTCCCACAGTGGGGAGCACATCCTGACCCCAACTGCCTCCACCTCCACCTGTATGTTTCTGTCTTTAGGCTCCAGGTTAGGCAACCAACCCGGGTCCCATGGTTTGGGGAGCACTGCAGGGTGGGGCAGAGCAGTGGTGGTGCAGATCTGGGTGGAGTGGTGTGATGCTGGGTGGAGCAGCAGCTCCACATCCAGATGCTCGCTAACCCCCCTCCCCCCACCACCAGCAAGCTAACTGCAAAATTCAGGAAGGTGGCAGTCTACTTCCACAGGAGCATCAAGGGAGGCAAGATGCTGCAGCAGAAACAACAAGAGCTGAACATCCCGCAGCACAAAATCATGCAGGATGTGGAGACTTGGTGGAGCTCCACATACCTGATGCTCAAGAGACTGGTGAAGCAACAGAAACACCCTTGCTTAGGGAAATCAGGATCAGCGGCACCCTGAACAAAATTGAGTGGGATACCATCTCCCAGATCTTGGTGGTCCTCAAGCCCTTCCTTGAAGCCACTGAGAGCCTCAGTTTTGCTGATGCCCTCCTTAGCCAAGTGATCCCCATAGCGAAGGAACTTCAGAGCCAAAAGGAGAGCTTCCAGGGGTTGAATGTCCCTTGCTGGGGCAAGCAACTGTCACCAGACGTGCAGGCACTGGTGTGGCAGCTGAAGAAGGGCATCAGGAAATGGCTGGATCATTTGAGGTCTAGTACAGTCCACGTGCTGGCTGTCATGTGTGACCCAAGGGTGAAGGGCACCATATGTGGCAGCCAAACGCTGAATCAGTGGACGGATGTGCTGGTAAAGAAAGTCAGGGAGGCAGAGCGGCGGAGGCGGGGGGACGTGGAACAGGGGGATCCACTGTCTCATGCTAGCACCCCACCCACAAGCCCAGATCCACCAGACCCCAGCATCAGGCAGGTAGCGCTCACACCTTGGTGACTGCTTATCTAGCCCAGGACATGGAGCTGCAGCTGTGTGACCCCTTGGCCTACTGGGCAAGCTGCAGCCAGGTGTGGCCTGATCTGGCCACAGTTGCCCATGAGCTTATCTGCCTGGGATGCCAGCTTTTGTGTTGAAAAACCCTTTGTCAGGCTAAGGAAGTGCCTGCAGCTGGTGTGTCTCCTGGCCCTGGATGGAAGGAATAGTAAAGCAGCCAGAGGCTCCCCCTTGGTCCTTGGCAGGCCTTGACACCCAGAGCACACACATGCCTGTGTGTAGCCTCCAATCCAACAGGCCTATTTGGTAAACTGGTTCATGGGCTTTAGCCCACTAATTCACTGTGGGCCACC